GTCTCCGTATATCTTTACTTTGGTTATGGAAGTCCTAACCTTGATGATTAGAAGGAATATCCGGGAAAGTAATGAGTTCAAGTTCCATCCTAGGTGTGAAAAATTGAACCTTACTCATCTTTGCTTTGCAGATGATCTTTTAATGTTCTGCCATGGTGATGTTACTTCGGTGATGGTTTTAAAGAATGCTTTGCTGGAATTTGGAAGAGTTTCAGGCTTGTTACCTAGTATGGAGAAAAGTACGGCTTTTTTGGGGAATATTGTGGGTTTTAATAGAGAGGAAATTCTAAAAATTCTGCCTTTTAAAGTGGGAGCTCTTCCTGTCAAATATTTAGGTGTTCCCCTCCTCTTTACGAAGCTTTATCACAAGGATTGCTTGGGACTTATCGACAAAGTCAGAACTAGGATCAAGGATTGGAAAAATAAATGGCTGTCTTTTGCTGGACGCTTGCAACTCATCAATTCTGTGTTGTCTTCCATAAGTGTTTACTGGGCTTCTATGTTCTTATTACCAGTTTCTGTCATAAAGGAGATTGAAAAGATGATCAGAGGTTTTCTTTGGAGTGGTGCTGACCCGGTTAGGGGAAAAGCTAAAGTTAAATGGAAAGTTGTTTGCCTTCCAAGAAATCAAGGAGGATTGGGCGTTAAGGATTTAAGAAATTGGAACAAAGCGTTACTTGCCAAACAAATTTGGAAAGTGATTGAAATGGGTGACTCACTATGGGTGAAGTGGATACATGAATATCGGTTAACAGGCAGAAACTTCTGGGATGTGGGCGAAGTTCATGATGCTTCTTGGTTTTGGCGGAAGACTATTCAAATAAGAAGTTGTTTTAGAGAGCATGTGTTACACCAGCTGGGGGATGGTAGAGACACATTTCTTTGGTTTGACTATTGGCATCCTGTTGGTCCTTTATGTAATTTAATTCCCAAAAGAGAAATTTATGCTGCTAGGATGGGTTTGAATATGAAAGTCAGGGATGTTCTCATTGATGGATTGTGGTGTTGGCCGATGGAAATATGGAGCAAGTATGGCGAAATACTTCAGCTTTATTTACCTCCTCTTATTGATGGTACCAAGGATAAAATTAGATGGAAAGGTAAGAATAATATTTCTTCTGATTTCACTGTTGCCAATGTGTGGCGTGACATCAGATATGAGGAAAATGAGGTTAACTGGGCTAATATGGTGTGGTTCTCCCATGGTGTTCCTAGGCATGCTTTTATATTATGGCTTGCCTTTAGGAATAGCCTGAGAACTAAAGACAGACTTGGGATGTGGTCTATGAACTTGGATCCTCTTTGTGTTCTATGTGAAAATGGGATGGAATCTCATGAACACATATTTATAGCCTGTACTTATTCCCATGATGTTTGGAACAATATGGGTGGTCTCAAGGGTACGGGTGATCTTATGAATATTTTGAAGAGAAATGATTTGAGCTGGGATAATTTTGTGGGATTAATGAGCAATATTCCGACTAGCAACTCTATTTGGAGTATTTTTCAAAGAATAGTTCTGGCTGCTGTTATATATTTTATATGGCAGGAGCGAAACATTAGAATGCATGGTGGTGAAAAGAGGTCTGCAGGTGTGCTTGCCAACCAGATAGTTGAGATTGTGAAGTTAAGATTACTGGGCTTGAAGATAAAGAACAATGCCCAAACGTGAAGAGCTGCGGATATGTGGGGTTTTAGGATGGGTAAGGATGAATTTATTACAACTGGTATTAATGTCTGAGTTTTTGCATTCCCTGTGGAGGTTATGGATGTTCACTTTGGGTAATCTGAAAATCGATTTGGATCACTGCTGGTGGATCAATGGCATCTACAATGAGCAAACAGATCTGGGTGGAGACTGGATAGAGAGATTTCATCTTCTGGCTTATGAGAATCCGTGGGTTGGGGTCTTTGGGGAGGGGTTTGGGAAACACAGTGGGTTATATTGGGTTTTTACGGGGTGGACCGGGACAAAAAATTTACTTTTTACTAACTTTTTTATATGCAGGTACTTTATCTCTCTATGTTGGTTTTCTTGGGGTTTTGGGATTGGTTACTGGGTTGAAGATATAAGGGAGTGGAGGGTAGAGGAGGTTAGTTGTGTCTTGAACTTGATCAGGAGATATAAGGAGGTTTTTAAGGAGGGCTGGATTTTAAAATGGAGCCATCATTATAAGGTGTTCAGGGTGATTTCTGTTCTCTTGTGCATATTATGGCGGCAGGGGGGTACATATTGGTCATTTGGTGTTACCAAATCTATAAGAGAATGGTTTTTTGTTTCTCTTTTAGATTTGAATTCAATTCTTGGGCTTGGGATATCTTTGTATCACATTCTTAAAAGATGGGGAGGGTTGGTTAATTTGAAGCACCATCCCTCTGATATGGGTATGTTTATAATATGGTATAGGGTGGTATTGAAGGGTTGGCTGTTTATAATTTGGATTTCCATACAAAATTTTTGCTTTTTTCATAGAGCTATGGCTTTGCTGGACTACAGGCCCTTTTTGAGAGTTTTCCACCATGAGATCTATTCTAGAGCTGTAACTTTCAAGTTTTTTGAGAGTTTTTGGGGTGGGTTCTTATTGGGGGGTGCTATGGGATACACATGGGATACACATGGGTTTTATGGGGGGGGGAAGGGCTAAAAGAGTGTTCTGCAGATTCTTTCTTCCTTATGTTACTGGGGCTTTGGGGTCTGGGTCTTGGGATGAAGACATAAGGGGGTGTAGGGTAGAGGAGCTAAGGTTTTTGTTGCACTTGTCAGGGAGCCATAAGGAGGTTCTTTTGGAGGATTGGTTGTGGCATGGGAATCTCTTTATTGATGTACAGGGAATTTTTGGTTTCTAAGGGATGCTTAATTGTCAAGACTAACAAAGTCTTGATTTCTTTTGATGGGAGGAAGGGGAGGGGTAGATATAGTTTTCTTGAAATCACCAACTCTAAAAGAAAATGTTTTATTGTTTTTCTTTTAGTATTGGTTTCGTTTCTTGGGGGTTGGCGTTTTGAGATTTGGAGGTTTGGGTGTATAGGTTTGGGCTCCTGCATTGAAAACAGTTTTGGAGTCATGGTACCTAGCTTTCTTTATGTTCATTTGATGCAGCCAACCATCTACCCTATGCTGCATCACAATGGATTCAGTCTCAATTCCTTTTTTCAATTCACAAGATCTTTTTCTTGTTTGGTGTGTGAAGATGTTTGGTATCCATCTCTTTGGATACCAAGTACCAGTTTTCGAACGGAATGGTGGAGCCAGTCTCAATGCTTGTATCTGGTTGTTTATTCTCATGAAATCCATCTATCGGAGCCAAAGAAAGGAGGAGATGGAAAAAGCCGAGGGCTTTTCTTCAATGGACATGATAGGAGTGGGATTTCAATTTTGAGTCTTTGCTGCTGTCGATGGTTAACGAAGACCGATAGGAATTTGCGCTGCCCTATTTCTTTGCCCCTTTGTATGGATTCTGAAATTCTTGCCATAATTGACCGATTTACACATTGCGATGGCTGGATTTCATCTTTTTCTTGGTGGATTGCTCGATATTTCTTCCAACAAGACAACCTCTTTCGAACCCTAGAGGCTGTTTTGTGCTTTCTGTGGAGAATGGAGTTCGTGGGGTCTTCCTTGATGCAAACGGGAGCTGTTTCGAATGTGGCTTTAAGCTTCAATCGGATTGGGAAGGTATCTAATTCGAAGGAGATGTTGACCGAGAACAGGTTTCGGTTTCAAAGGAGGGGCTGTGTTCGTGATGAGTGGGGTAATATCAAAGAGATGGATTATGAGATGGGTATTATCTTGGGCTTAAAGGTGGTTTTCAATTGGGCTGCCTATTTAAATTTTTGGTGGTCCATTATCTTATTTGGGCCTGAGGATATGGGCTTGAAGGGGACTATCTTCTCTGCTTTGGATCATACTTTGGGCTCCAAGTTAATTTTTAGTTGGGCTGCTTATTCTAATCTTTGGTGTTCCTTTGCTTTCTTTGGGCTTGAGGACATGGATTGGAAGCTGATTGCTACTGAGGATTACAATGATATGGAAGCTGTCAAATGCCGGTGGGATAAGCCTTTTTACTTGTTTTGGACCAAGTCTTCCATTTATTGTCTGGATTGTATCTTCTCTTGGGCCAGTTGGATTGTTATTGCTATCTGGATTTCTAGAACTAGACCTTTCTTAAGTGTCTTCCCCAAACATTTTCTTGGAAGGCATTTAGTTTATTTGTCTCTTGGGGTATGCCCCTCGTAGCTTGTATTGTTTTAATTTTTCAATAAAGTTTTCCAGGGTTCCGTCCCCTTTACCCAAAAAAAAAACCCTAAACCCTAACCCCTAACCCCTAAACCCTAAACCCTAA